CATCTTCACAGGCTGACCCTCGTTATCCAGATTTCAGGCTAGGTATCATCTCTTCCCAAAGACCTCTCAGGGCTGCCCAGTCTAAAGCAGCTGCCTGTTCATTTGCCTACCCTTCTGTTTCAATGTATTACAACCTGTTATTCTCTTGTTTATCATCTGTCTCTCCCTGCCTTGGTTTGCAAGACATTTCATGATCCAGGCCCGGCTTCCCATGAACTCCACTGTTCACCCCTGGAAGCTAATGCAGACCCTCTGGGACCCTGCTCTCTCTGCGTTCCCAGCCTCAGCACCTGGCTTCCTTTCTCCCTGGAGGCTGCTCTTCACCCCACCTCCCACTTCACCCCCTCTCCTGGCTAGATCAGACATAGAAATAGTTGCCAACCCCTAACTCCAGTTCATTCCTTTTCCCCTCCATCAGCCCATCAGGGTTCTCGGTGCCCTGTAATGCAGGGGAAGGCATCACGCGGGGAGGGCAAAGATGAGTCTGCCTTGTTCGAGGCTGTGCCGGGGGCCTAGCACAGGACCGGGTGCACAGTAGGCTGGACAGACACATGAAACCCGCCGCATCCATAGCACGGGAAGAATGGAAGAACGTAGCTGCTGCCGCTGGTGGGCTGTCACCTGGAGAGTTTCCAGGGAGACAGCTCCCCGGAGTTAGCCTGAATGAGAGCTGCTGCGGTGGATGGAGAGCATGCTGCCGGCTGCGGGAGCAGTGGGAGTGTTCCAGATAGAGCGGCACCGGGGCAGGAGCAGGGGCTGCGGGGAAATGACACGCTGTTCTCTCCAGATTTGCACAGGACTGAGGGGGAGGTGAGGAATGAGGCCAAACCACAGAGGGTTGTATAAGCCTGGAGGAGGCAAAGAGCTGGATACTAAAGATAATGGGAGATCATTAAAGAGTCTGGAGTAGGGGGGGAAATGGTCAGATCTGCATCTAAACTGAAAAACCACAGCAGCTGGATGTGTTTTGGGATGAAGAGCTCCATTCTCAACTTAAATCCTTGAGTTCTCTCCCAGACGACCCCACACTATACTTCTTCTAGCTCTTGCTCTTAATCCGTACAGGAGGCAAGGGCTTCAGTAGAAATCTCCCTACCTTAATCCCTATAGTAGGTTAAATGGTGCCCTTCCCACCCCCTAAGAAAGGATTTAGTCACATTCAAACCCCTAGAACCATGTAAATGTGACCTTATTTGGAAAAAGGGTCTTTGCAGATGTATTGAGCCAAAGGTCTTGAGATGAGATCATCCTGGATTACTGAGAGAGGCCCTAAAGCCAATGACAAGTGTCCTTAGAAGAGGCAGAAAATGAGAAGACCCAGACAGGAGAGGAGCAGGCCCTGTGGCGAGAAAGTGACATGGGGCCACCACAAGCCTGGAAAGCCCAAGACACGCCAACAGCCACCCGAAGGTAGAAGAGGTGAAGAAAGATTCTCTCCTAGAGTCTCCAGAGGGAAAGCCCTGTTGACACCTCGATTTTAGACTTCTGACTTCTGAACCGTGAGAGAGTAAGTCTGTGTTGTTTTAAGTCACCCAGTTTATGGTAATCTGTCACAGCAGCCTAGGAAACTTATACAACTCCGTACTCAGACTAAGAAGATTTAGCCTCAGGACCCTTCCCCATGGGTGGACCCTCATAAATCAGGAAGTTTCTTTTCTGTGTGGAAGGTACAGCTGTGACAGAAGCACGGAGCCAGACCAGCCTGTCAGTGGACCCTCCTCTGTAGCGCTTGGCACTGAAAGGACATCTTTGCCCACACGGAGAAATGTATCACCAGAATGAAGCAATGGACAAAATGGTGGAGCTGGGTCTTGGGCCAAGCTCTAGAGACTCTGAGAGCGAAGCTGGCAAGGCTCTGTGGAGACTAATGGTTTGGCAGAAGGGGGTAGGCCAGTGAGTTGCTCAATGGGGGTGAGCACAGATATGGCAGGGATGGTCATTGTTCAAATAGGATTCGTAGCTTTGGGTTCCCAAAGGGGCCCTTGGGGCTCTGGAATGGTCAGTCTGGTCTTTAGGGTGGGCTTACTGGGGCCGACACACTGTCAGGCTCCTTTCATTAAGCGTTTCTTAACGTACCCACCGTGTGCTGGCTTTCTTCTGCACTCTACCCATCTAGGCACGGTCAACATCCACAGTTCCAGACAGTGAGCAGCCAGCCCACCTCTTAAAACACCAGTACTTGACCTGAAGGTCTGCACTGTGTGTGGGTGGGTGGGTGGGTGGGTGGGTGGGTGTGTCCTCCCTTTCTCCCTGGGGAATCCTCACCTATCCCTGTAGAAAAGCCAGCTTCCTCTGTTAGAAGTTTCTTTCTTTTTTTATTTTAAAGATTTTTTTATTTATTTGACAGAAAGAGACACAGTGAGAGAGGGAACACAAGCAGGGGGAATGGGAGAGGGAGAAGCAGGCTTCCCGCCAAGCAGGGAGCCCGATGTGGGGCTTGATCCCAAGACCCTGGGATCATGACCTGAGCCGAAGGCAGACGCTTAATGACTGAGCCACCCAGGTGCCCCAAGAAGTTTCTTTTTGGAGGGCCAGTTAACATTGCAATTACATAATTATCTCTGGGAGTGCCCATTCAGTATCTTTCTCCCCATCTAGCTGTAAGCACCCCCATAACAACCCCTGGCTCACTGAGGTGTCCCATAAGAATTTGAAAATGAGACAGGCCAATTCTCGGGGGCACCTGAGTTTTCAGAAGGAGAAAGATTTCATCTGGTCATTTCAAACCCTCTGAGAGTGCCAACAGCTAGGGGCTCAGGCTTCATCTTAAGAGAAAGAAATAGAATCAAAGGGGAAAGGCCAAGGGCAAAAATAAAGCCACATGTGGGAGGGGAAGAAGATGTCAATCCTAAACCCAGGGCTGCCAGAGGCCAAAATGTTACAACCCTCCCTCCATAGGAGGGGTCCTTGTGCCCATTTTTTTTTTAGGTCTTGGCTAAGATGGCATCCTATACCTCCTTCCTCATAACCCAAACTCCCCCCCTCCACCCCCCGCTTTCTCCCTCCTAAAGATTAATTTCCCTTTGAATAACATTCAGATGGGCTGGACTCTAATGATGCCCAGAATCTCATCAAAGTAGGAAGGGGCACCTGACTCTTCACAAATTCTCCCCAAAGGGTCATCTTCTTGCCCTGAAACAAAAAAGTGATTTGCAGAGAAATGTGGTAAATCCATATTGCGGACTGGTTGCCACCAGAGTTCCTCTGTTAAAAAGGCGAATAACAGTACCCACCTCAAGTGGAAGAACATTTGAGATCTCAAGTGGAAGAACATTTGAGATCGTGCATCACACACTCAGTGCTGTACCCAGTTGCAGTCCAAGTCGTCAGTACCAGGCTCGGTGCTGACATTGGTAAGAACCGCAGCTGTTAGAATTACTAAGACAAGTCCCTCTATCTTGCAGTGTGATCAGTCAGTTACTCCCTTTCCCTGTACTTGTTCCCTGCTCACCAAACACAGGGCCTCCAGCCATCCCTGGTTGCCCCGGGGGTGGGGTGGGGTGGGGTGGGGACCAAGCTACCCTTCTGAGATGGGCACCCCAGAAGGAAACCCAAGGTTATGGCCATTCACTCATTGTTATTAATTAAAGATTAGGCTCTTGTGAAGGCTGGGCAGATGTCAGAAGATGCGGCCAAGGTCCTTGGCATTAGCTCTCCGGGGGCACTTGCCTCAAGGTAGTGTCATCAGAAGGTCCCTTTGCATCGAATGAGGGTGGGGCAGAGGAGGTGAAGAAGGAAAGTATCAAGAAAGGAAACCGTAGGGCGCCTGGGTGGCTCAGTTGGTTGGGCGACTGCCTTCAGCTCAGGTCATGATCCTGGAGTCCTGGGATCGAGTCCCGCATCGGGGTACCTGCTCAGCGGAGAGTCTGCTTCTCCCTCTGACCCTCCCCCCTCTCATGTGCTCGCTCTCTCATTCTCTCTCTCAAATAAATAAATAAAATCTTTAAAAAAAAAAAAGAAAGAAAGGAAACTGTACTCTTGAGTACAGACAGAGCTGGCCAGTTAAGAAGGTCTTGGGTCCCCTCAGACTTCTTGCTCTGAGCTCTTGCCTTTTCTCTGAAGCTCTGTAAGGTAGACCCTATTTCATGATGCTTGCCTCTTTCTCTAAAAACCTGCTCTAAGGCAATAGCCTTATATATTTGTTTATACTAACATGTAAATGGCTGTCAGAGCTTTATGCTTGCTTGTTTTTATAAGGGGAAAAGGTTTCAGTCAACAAAATGAATACCTTCAAGGGAGTGGGGGAGGCAGAGGGCCCTTCCCAATGACTCAGAAAGCACACTGCCTGCTCCATCCAGAAAACCAGTGGCTGTAGCCGTGGAGACCAAGCCATTTGGGTTTAGTTGAACTGACTGAACAATTTCTGAACCCTACGTTCTCTTTCTGGAAGTAGGATAGTAGGCATGGTGGAGGGAGAGGAGGACGAGGGACAGTAGACAGAGCAGAGGCACACAAAGTAGGGAGGGATTATTTCCTCCAAATGCACCTCTCAGGGAATGAAGAGTTGCCAGGGAGGAGTGCAGAGCTGGTTCTTCAAAGCATCACTTTTGATATAATGAAAAGTAAGGGGCTCTGGTGGCTCAGCTCTCTGGAGAATCCTCAGCCTCCTCCCTTGGACCCTCTCGGCTCGTGAGACACCCCAGGTCATGGTTGGTCTGTTTCAAGAGGAGCTCATCTCCTGAGCCCATGCAGCCAATCTGGATAGCTGCCCAGGCCTCCCCATTGGCTTTGCAGCCTAGGACCAAAGTAAGATTATGGACCAGATCAAGTTAGTGGTGAGGAGTGGGGGGTTAGGTGGAGAATTCTGGTTACTGGGGAGAGCAGAGACGGTGAAAAGGACTGTCAGGGAGTACCACCTGCCCTCCCCACGGGGTGGCTCCACCCAACAGTCCTCTCGGTTTACATCAGCAGCACAACACGATGTGAAGGGCTTGGCCTCCGGCAGCCCCTAGAAAAGGGGCTCCAAAATAGAAGAAACAGAGATGGATCAGAGCCAGTCCTGGAACACAAACACCAGTATATTTGATGTGCACGAATGTGAAAAGGAAGAGACAAAGAGACGGATGGAGACGGAGCAGGCGATGGGCGCACAAACCAGTCACGTGTCCTTCCGAAGAGCTGCGGCAGTTGGGAGACAGTCCCGCCCACTTCGAAGTGGGAGTGCCGGGACGCGCAGCTCCTCCGGGTCTGGGGTGGCCTCAGGGTGGAAGGTACCCTCCCTGCCTTAGCCACAGCTCGGGGGCCGGGCATCTCTCCTTTCTGCACCCCCCATGATGGTGTCTGCACGGCCCAGAGCTTCATAAATGCAGGTTCTCGGGAACTGACCCCCTCAGCACTGCCTCCCCGAGGAGACCCATGCAGAGAGTGAGGGGCTAGGACAAGGCGATTTTGTGGGCACTCCCTGTGTATTATTGCTGTAGAGAAGCACAGGCCATTGTGACTCACTGGCAACAGGGGGGACAGGGCACAGGGGACAGCATGCCTAGCAGACCTCAGAAGCGCTTCAACCATGCGGGGCAGCATGTGGCCATCCATAAGTGACTCAGAAATGCTGCCATGGCCCGTGGAGAGGGATCCAGGACACCAGAGGTTCACAGTCAGCAGACTCTTCCTGCCAGCGCCCCCGAGGCTTGGCAGAGCTGGGGTGCCCGGGCACTAAGGGATGAGGGCCTTCACTAAGGGAAGATGCCCAAACAAGCAAGTGTTGAAGTCTGGGCTACCCCTGGCGAATTCTGAGCCTGCAGACCCTGAGCTCAAGCCCTGGATTGCTGCCTCCCTTTGCTGGGGACTCTGGGCCCTGTGAGGGACAGAAGGAGCCACGGGGCACCTGGATGAAGCAGAGAAACAGCACTCTGCTTGTATCAGGCAGGCAGGTTCACCGCAGGACCTCCCGTCCTTGGGAGTCTGTAGGGCCCAGAGAAAAGATGGTGCCAGGGAATGCCCATGTGGCAACATCTGGAGTGGCCAGACCTGAAGGGCCATAGAGGGGCTTGCTCTGGCTGAGAATCATGGAGGCCCTATGCTGGCAGACATCAACAAGCTGACCACAGATTCGGTCATGGGAGGGGAGGTCAAAGGTGGGTGGTGTCATCTAGGGGCCCACATGTGGGGCCCGGAAGGGTGCTGGGGTCCAGAAAAGTAAGATATCACAGAGTTTGGGGACAGGGCCAAGGAAATAATTTCCCAGAGGGGACAGAGAATCCAGACAATACTTTTCCTCTGGAAACCCGAATCCCTGGATGCCCCAAAGCCCTGGAATTGGGGCCACAGTAAAATCGAAGGTAGGTCTGGCCCCTGCAGAATGTAGTTCATTCCTGGATTTGAGGAGCCTGGCCAGGACACACAGGCTGGGAAATGCCCTTCATCCTGTCCTGGACAGGGTCAACTGCACAAAACAACCCTGTCAAAGGCAGAGTCTCCTAGCCTTTCTCCCAATCCTGCCCATCCCCAGCCCACCAGCCCTGGCTCACACCCTGGCTGGTGCTATCTGCACCGTCTAGGTGGAGCAGCAGAGCAAGGAAGAGGAGCTTCTGTCCACAGGTGGTATTATCATTTTTTAATGATCTATAAAAAGGGAAAGGCTAATTTCTACTTAAGAGTCCCAGTGTGGTCAAGATGAAACCATGTACCATGGCATAGGCTGCATTCTGAGGAGTGGGGGCAGAGCCAGAAGTGGGCTGGAGTGAGGACTTCACCTGTCCACTGCCAGCGATGGACCCATCACAGAGGAGCGGGGGGTAACCAAGATGACAACGCCCGTGAGCACGGCAGGGTCAATACTGTTTGAGGAGTAAGCTCAAAGGGTGAGCCTTGCTTGGGAGGGGTGGGATGGGGGGTAGCCCCGAGGGGGTTTTGCTGCAGGGCCTGGGGCTATGGCAGGACCAGCTGATCCCTTCCCACTAAGGATGCTCCAGAGACCCTCCCAAAGCGGAAAGACTGTTTTCTTTTCCTCTCTCACCCATCCTCCATGGGTCTCCAACACTGGATGCCGGCCCCTCCATCCCCTAGAAAGCTCTATTGACTCTGACTGGCTTGAAGAGAAATCGAATGCTTTCTCCCCTTGCCCCCCCGCCTCAACTCCACTAAACTGATTTGTCTCTGGGTCCACACTGTGGATCTGAGGGAGTGCATCTTGGCCTGACTGTGTTGGGGAGGGTATCATCCCATTTCAGCTGGGCCACTATGGGGAGGGGGCACTGCCACAGCCCGCCAGACAGGTGGGGAGGTGTGAAAGGGGACTTCCTAGTCATCAGGCAGCAGACAGAGTGGAGGGAAGGTCGCAAGAGGGGGCGCAGGGTCCGCCTCAGGGTCCATCTCTGGCAGCTGCTGTGCTGGCCAGGGAGTTGGGGAAGGGGGCGGGTGTGGTGACTGACATGGATAAAGGGGCTGCTAGTGGTAAAGGCCTTGAAAATAAGAGAGAAAAGGGGGAAACGCCACCGAACACACAGGGATTGAAACCTCCAAAAGCCCAAGGTTGGTGGGAATCCAGCACCAGCGGGGCCCCCTGAAGGCCAAGGGAGCGGCAGAGCCCTGGGGGAGGGGAGAGGAGCCAAGGGAAGGCCTCCAGCCCTTGCACACCAGCACTGCCGCCAAGCAGCCTCCCGGCTGCCCAGTCTCTCCTTAGGCTGCAGCTCAGCAGGCCCCCGGGGAGGTATTGGTTGCAAGCAAGCACCTGAATATTGCCTAACGGAACCAGCCAAAGCCCACCTAAACCAGGTGAGAGGGAGGAGACCACGCAGCAGCTCAAAGCCTCCTCAGGCCTCGCCTCCCACCTTCTGCCCCGTTCTCAGGGCCCCTTAGCCAGGACAGGGCCTGCTGCTTCCAAAATCACCCGGGGGGGGGGGGTGTCCAGCCGCTGCTTAGCCACAGGCCTCCAGCCACCAGCCTCTGAGCCGCGCAGAGATCCACAGACCTTTCCCAGAGTCCCTCTGCTACCTCCACCCCACCCCCGCACACACCCGGCCCCGCCCCCCGCGGAGGGTGCTGGGGTGAGGGGGTCGTCGCGTATGTGTGGGCCCTAGGGGGCTGAGGCCGGTCCCCGGCCAGGGCTTGTGCTGTTCAGAAGATGTAACCCCACCAGCTTGGTACCTCTGTCCACTGGGTCCATGAGAGAGCCCCGGGCCCCACCCACCAGCCCCATTCAGTCTGTCTTGACGTGGCCGTTGGCCAGGGCCAGGGGACCACCGGGCTCCCCAGGCTCGGCGTCCTTGTCAAAGCGGAGGCGGAGGGTGTTGCGGATGATGAACTTCTCCATGATGAGGGACCCGCAGAACCAGGGCACGGCGTACTCCAGGGTGATGAGGCCCATGAAGTCAAAGTCGAACTGGGAATAGTCCCAGGGGCAGGCGTTGAACTGGCGCAGGATGAGGCCGGTGGTGAACTCCCATAGGTAGGTCCAGAGCGTGTAGATGAGGCAGCGCAAAAGCAGCGGGCAGCGGCCCCGCAGGCGCAGGTACATGCGCTCCACGATGAGGATGGAGGTGCCGTAGATGAAGAGTGCCCACACGCTCGTGACCCCCGGGAACTTCCAGTTAAAGTTCAGCACAAACTCCCAGGCCGCCGTGAACATCACCTCGCAGAAGTAGCCGTGGATGGCATACAGGTACCAGCGGGACAGCGCCGTCAGGGGCTCGGCGGACGCCATGTTGCCGAGCGGGCTGCTGGGACACAGAGGAGACAGGTGAGGGAGGGAGGGAGGGAGGGAGGGGGCCCCTCCTGGCCTCCCAAGCCCAGCCCAAGTCTCTGCCGGGACCAGGCTCCAGGGCATTCCAAACCTGCCTCTGCCGTTCTCTTTGGTGACCGGCCCTATTCTTGACCCTATTTCCTGTTCATTACTTTATTCCCTCTTCCTTACCTTAGCCAGGTGGGCATGAGAAAGGAAGGGAGGAAACTTCAAAGTCCCACTGGCTTCCTCTGACCAACTCCACTCAAACGCTACTTGGAAGGAGGGGTCTCCTACACAGCCTAGACTTTTTTTGGATTATCTGTGGTCGAATGGAAGAGTTGGCTGTCCTGACCCACCAGACACCTCCATTTCTAGGCTGCCAGCTGATTTCTCATCAGGCCCCTCCACTGGGGTCACCATCCCTTCCTCCACTTCTTCTCAAACAACTCCACCTCACTCATCTTTCTAAGCCACCTATCACATTTGTCTTGTGTGTGTGTCTGTGTGTGTGTCTGTGTGTTAACATATACTAACATTTACCATGTTAGCCATTTTTAAGTGTATAGTTCAGTGGCATTAAGTACATTCACACTATTGTGCAACTGTCCCCATCGTCCATCTCCAAAACTTTTTCATCATCCCAAACTGAAATTCCATACCCCTTAAACACTACCTCCCCACCTCCTCCCCAGCCCATGGCAACCCCCATTCGACTTTCTGTCTCTCTGAATGTGACTACTCTAGTTACTTTATAAGTGGAATCACACAGTATTTGTCCTTTGGTGACTGGTTTCTTTCACTGAGCACAGTGCCTGCAAGGTTCATTCATGTTGTAGCCTGTGTCAGAATATCCTTCACCTTTTAAGGCTGAGTAATATTCATTCCTTTGTGATCAATCCATCTGTCTATCTATAGCACATTTGATTTATCCATCTGTCCATGAATGGTTTGTTTCTACCTTTTGGCTATTGTGAACACTGCTGCTATGAACATGGGTGTACAAATATCTGTTCTAGTCTCTGCTTTCCATTCTTTTGGATTTATATCCAGGAGTAGCACTGTTGGATCACATGGTGATTCCGTGTTTGTTTTCTGAGGAACAGCCTTGCTGTCTTCCACGGCAGCCGCACCATTTTACATTCCCATCAGCAAGGCACAAGACTTCCAATTTCTCCACATCCTTGTCAGCACTTGTTATTTTCTGGTTTTTTTGATGATGGCCACCCTAATGGGTGTAAAGTGGCAGCTCGTTGTGGTCACATTTGTCTTTAACTGCTCCATTAAGCGGGTTTGGGTGTTTGGTTTCAATGTTGAGAGGAAACCAGTGGGCTGACAGAGGAGAGAGTCCTCCTCTCTCCTTCTTATTCCCTTCCCCTCCTCTCTTCTAGCCCCCCTGGGCTTTAAGGCCCCAAGCCGCTTCCCTGAAGGCTGGCCTGGCCCACAGACCTCGCTGCTTTTCCTTGCCCTCCATCAGTGACTGTCTGGATGACTCCCTTGGCCCTTTATCCAACGCCACCCTGTTTCCTGTTAGAAGGCACATGCCCTCTTGATCCACCTCGCTAGCCTGTGTCCTCCCTGAGGGCAGTGCCCCTTTCTCACTCCTCTGTTCTGCAGCCTTGGTACAGGCCTCTCCAGGGCAGGCGCTCTCTAAATGATGCGGGTTTATGGGGGGCAGGGGGGAGGGTTCGGGGCAGCATCAGGAATGGGAAGGCAGAGCATGAAGACACGAATCCCAGTGCACCCCAGGCTGGACACCTCTGTCAAGGTGGGAGAGGGGACGGAGGTTAACAGGAGGCATCTGCAGTCTGCCCGTCTGTCTGGGAATCCCAGCCTCATCTTTCAGCTAAAGCAAACCTCGTCACAAAAATACACGCCCCGGTGCATCGCCTTGTGGTCTTCCAGACACTTTCGTTCACATTTTTGTCATTGGTTCTTACAAAATTAAGATTCATGTGAAGAAGGGCAGGTAGTTTTGCTCCCATTTTTTCAGAGAGACAGTTGGGGCTCTGAGAGAAGTGGGTTTGCCCCATATCTCAGGGCCGGGGAATGGATATGCTGAGCCTAGAATCCACATCTCCTGATTTCTATTTCAGCACTCATCCCACTGCCCACTATTGCCCAGCCCGTAGACATGCGTGCCTAGTAGCACTCCCCTCCTCAAAAGCGTTCAGTGGCCCCCCCCCGCGTCCTAAGGAAACACCACAGCACCCTTGGCCTGGCACTCAAGACTCTCCAGGAACTCACTCCAGCCTACTAGCTGGCTCTCCTGGTTTTCCCTCCTGCCTCTGCAGGTCCTGTCCGTATGTTTCCTGTGTCTCTCCTCTCACCGTCTCCAAGTACAAACCCAACTTCCAGGTGACCTTCAGAATCAAATCGTCTTCATCCCCACCGCCACAGCCCTTCCTCCCCTGAAGAGACAGAGCACTTACTCTGTCTCGCTTCGGTCCAGATGATTTCCTGTTTCATTATGTTGATAATGTCCAGTCCCCATCCAGACATCTCGCCTGTGTCTGACACCTACGTACCCACTCCTTCCTGAACACCTCCACCTAAGCGTCCTATCGGCACCTCAAACTCAGTATCTTTTCCGCAAAACTCGTCTTCCTCCTGTGACCCCCACCCTGCACCCAGTGAGTAGCCAGAGGCCCTGGGGTCATTCTAGCTTCCTCTGCCGCATCCCCACCCAAACATGAGCTCCCTGAGAATAAGGACCTTGTCTGTCTGGTTCAGCACTGCATCCCCAGTGCCTAGAACAGTGCCTGGCACACAGCATTCAACTAAAAAAGACCTTTCTTAATCAGTTCATCACTGCTACATAACAGAGCCTTCCAAAACTCAGCGGCTTAAATCAGCTCTCATTTATTATTACAGCCTGTGTGTCTGTGGGTTGGTGGATCCTGGCTGGCCTCGATCACGAGACCGCTGGGCGTCTGGGAGCTCTGTCCTGCCCTTGGCTGGGGTGGCTCTGATCTACCTGTCTTTCGTGCCTGGCACGCTTTCTCGTGGCTGGGGCAGAGGCACATGGACAAGCAGGCCCTACTGCGCCATGCTTTTCAAGACTCTGGTTAAGTCGTGCCCAGGAACATCTTACTGGTCCTAGCAAGGCCCACGGCGCCGCCGCCAAGTCAGCCACTACCTCCTGTCCTTTTCTACCACGTAACCATGTTTGAAATCATCCCTTCTTCTTGGCTCCCCTTTCTCATTGCTGCTGCTCTGCTTCAAGCCGTCCCATCCCTTACCCGGATGCCCCCCGTCATCGGCAGCTGGTCTCCCCCCCGCCCCGGCCTTTTCCTTTCCGATTCACTCATCACTCAAAGGAAGAGTGTGTAGAAACAGCAGTCCTTCTAAAACACAAATCCGATGCTTCCCCCCACGTAAGGCCCCCTAGTGTGTCCTTACCATCCACACAGGAAGGCTCGAACCCCCAGGGATGGCTGGCAGAGCCCTTTGTGAGACACCTCTGCCTCAGATCGTGTGCTCTGGATCTTTGCATTACTGTGTTTGCTACCTGGGGTTCCCTTCCCAACTGCTACTGCCCCCTCTGTCCCCAGCCCCTGGCCCCTGGCCCATAATCCTCCTCGGCTGCCCTGTTTGCCCACCTCTGCTCCCAGTTCACTTCTGTGACAACAGTTCGCACTCTGCTTTGCACTAGTGGCCACTTGATGAACGTTTAATACAGTAAGAGAGAGAAAAGCAGGATTCAAAACTGAATAATTAATATGGTTTTGATTTTGCAAAAGCATACATACATACAAATGTTCAAAAAAATTAGCCATCATCATCTCTGGATGGTGACATCACAAGTGCTTTTTATTTCCTTCTTTAAACTTCTCTGTATAATCTAAAATCTTTTTCTAATAAGTTTGTCTAAACTTTTATAAAAATAAAATTGTATCTTAAAGGGGCGCCTGGGTGGCTCGGTCGTTAAGCGTCTGCCTTTGGCTCACATCATGATCCCAGGGTCCTGGGATCGAGCCCCCCAGTCGGGCTCCCTGCTCCTCCCTCTCCCACTCCCCGCTTGTGTTCCCTCTCTCGCTGTGTCTCTCTCTGTCAAATAAATAAATAAATAAAATCTTAAAAAAAAAAAGAAATCTTTAAAAAAAATTGCATCTTAAAAACGTTTGTTGCATGACTGTGTATTAATCATCTTTGTGTACTATATATAGAAGATGCTCAACAAATTCACCAGACAAAGGAAGCTAAGAAAACCTGATGTCCTATAAAGCTCATGCAGGTCCTTCCCTCCTGAGCCATCACCAACGACAAACCATGATTCGCGGGTTTGAATAGCATGAAGTGGTTAAACTCAGAGGCTCCGGGTCCTAAATTCCTGGCCCCCCCCCTTGCCTTTTCCTTTCTGGTTTCCTGGTGCCCTTCACCTGTAGGATGTAAGGCGTGTTACCTGACCTTTCGTACAGGTGAAGTGAGAATAATAAGAGTAACTACTTCTGGGGGTTACTCGTAAGGATAAATGAGCTAACAGATGGACACCACTAAGATGACAGCAAATGCTCAAGAGAGGGTGACTGCATTTGTGGCACAGAGCCAGGCTTCCTGGTCAGCTTCTCCCGCTTTGAGCACCACCTCCTCCCTGAGGCTGGGTCATTCTGCCCCTGCTCTCACTAGCAGCCTTCCTTACTGAGCAGGTCAGGTCTTCACCTCCGCCCAGAGCACAACCCAGCAGCCAAGCAACCCCGTGAAACCAATAACTGCACATACACCCCATGGGAGAACAGAGACTGAGCTGAGGAGGGGCAAGGCGAGCTCCCCGTTCATCCCGTGCGGCGGCCTGACGGAACTAGTGGCCTCCTCGGGTCAGCCCCCGCCTGAATGCTGACTTTAAAACGCTGCTCCCCTTGCCTCGCGGGCTCGTCTCTAGACATGGCCGAGGATGGTTTCCCAGTCAGTAACCACTCAGGGGCTCCAGTCAGCCCCCTGGAGCGGGGGACTTGGAAGAGCTGGACTTCCAAACCCTATGAACAGAAGCAAGATGGAAGGAGCCGCTGTTAAAGGGTGAAGGAGGGCAAGCTGTGGAACAGAAGAGAATATGGGGGAGAAAGAACAGGGTGAGCCCAAGGATAGGATTCCATTTCTGGAATCTTCCGTCCCTGGAAGAACAGGGGTAGGCAGAGGGGAAGCATACCCAGGCAAGGTCAGGCCCACGTCCGAGGGGTTGTGCCAGGGGAACACGCCTACTCCGCACGAGACAGACAGGGGAAGCTGGAAGTCCTGACTGGGGCCGGGAGATGGGAGCGAAGACGGAGAAAAGGGACATGAGACCGTGTCAAGAGCCAGGATGGCCACTCACACTGGGGTGGTGTAGACACTCATGAGAGGCTGCACTGACTTGGCTGGATTTTCACAAAACTCCACTCCCTGAACCCATTGCTCACACTCACAGGAGTGTTTAAACTCTGAGTTGGGACAAGCTCCCCCACCCTCCCCTGGCCCCGGCCAGGCCTCCCCCAACCTGAACCCTTTGCTCCAGACCCTCCCAGTACCTCCTTGCTCCGAACTGGGATCAAAGCCCTGCAAAGGCCTGCATCAGGAAGAACCAACAGCTCCCTGGACAAACGCAACCATCCCGAGGACCATGACACAGAGAGAGGACAGCCAGGGAAAGAAAACTCAAGGTGAAGTAAAGAGGAGAGCATGCGCAAGGATGAAAACAGGAGAAAAGAATTTGGAGAGCTGGGGACGGTTTCACAAGCAGGATACTGGGGAACAACACTCAAGTACAAGAGCCCTCATACTTGTTGATAAAAGGGCCTGTGAACACGGAGTTCCAGCAAAGGCGACTTGTCAGAGCAGGGCACTGCCCCTCCAAGGGGACAGATGACAGGTGATTTGGTGGGGAGGGGTTCTGAGTCTTGCTCCCTAAGAGGATCTCACCAGCTCCTGGAACCTGCTGAGCTATTCCTTAGGCAGAGAGCAGAGCAAGTGGAGAGGGACGAAGAGAACACCATAAAAGTCCAAGACAGGCTGGAGGCAAAACCAAATGAGATGATTGCCTTTGGTACTACCCCAAACTCCCATCTTGTCCCAGGAAGCTAAGGTGCCACAACACAATGACTCTGGGAACTTCTGTCCAGAGGAGCATCTTGCTAGAAAATCGGAATTCCTCTTCTCTGCAACTAGACGAGGCAGGCCTGCCTTCTTCTTTCACCTCATTTACTTCCCCATCCCCAGGCACCAAAACTGCTTCAGTTCCATGCTCTGGGGAGCTGCACAGCCCCCTTAGGGGGCCCCTGAGGGCAGGGCAGTGGGGGGACTCTGAGTCCAGTCTCCTGGCAGGCTCTGTACTGGAGGTGAGTGGAATCAAAGAGGGGTGTGCGCAGCTGCCCTAACATCTGGGTGAAAGATGGAAGGTCTGAAACTGTCCTGAGCTTCCTCGGTGGTTGTCGGGTTGGGGGCGGGGTGGGGTTGGGAGGAGCACATGGGCTTGCTTCAGGGCCAGAAGGGAAGCAAGTGGAGCTAAGCACCCGTGGTCACTGGCTAGCCCAGATGCCACAGAGTTCCACCCATTCTTGCTATGGGCATCCCCCAGGAAAGTCCCCAGGGATGGTCCTCCCTCCACCTCCCAAGTCACAGGAATAATAGGGCACTCTTCCCAGCGCTTACCATGTATTAACTCAGATAATACTCAGGCCTATTTTATAGACAGGGCAACTGAGGAAGAGAGAGGCTGAGTAATTACAGCTATAAAAGGCAGAGCTGGGATTCAAAGCCAGCAAGTCTGGCTCCAGAGCCTTCTCAGCACCCTGCACTGCCCTTGAAGCTGACTACAGGCTCCTCTGTGGGCACCACCTTTTTCTGAGTTTCTGCTTCTAGAAGGCTAGTATGGTATATGGAGAGACAACAGGAAGCAAGAAGGACATGAGCTTCTAGATAGATCATCAGGGAAGCTCAGACCTGGTGTCAGAGCTATTGAAGGCTCTCAGCCTATTCTGAGAGACCAAGTTCTTTCTAAGACTGAGTTCTGGCAAGACCCACACAATGGTCCTCCAGGGTCATAGCTGACCCTCATAGGACCACGGTGGCAGCCACTGCTGAGGGCCTCAAGGCAGGTGCCATTCAAAGAACTTTCACCAGAACACAGGTTACCCAGAGCCTCCCTGACCACCAGCCCACCCCCCAATGTGGCTGGGAATCTCAGAAGGCCCAGCCCTGCCATGCACATGCCAGCCAAGAGCAGAGACCAGCATCACACTGCCCAGAGAGGCCTGGCACCTGGAGCATCAGCAGGCTGGAGAGGATTTTAGAAGGCCTCCGATGCTAAGGAAATCCTAGCTGGCAGGCACAGGGGGGCAAGTGGGCCTGGGGAACAGAGTCACCTTGGCACAGAGGTTCACCAGGGCTCAGGCCGGGAAGGGCACCCGGCGGCAGCTGGGGGCCTCAGGCTGGGCATCCTTTGTGTTGCCCCCCCTGCTCACCGCCCCCCACAAGCTGTCTCTCTATTGTTATTCAGATTTCAGCTCAACCAGTCACCCCTGAGACCTTCTCCAAGTCTCCAATCCAAAATAGCCTCCCCATCACTGACATCATCCAGTTTCGGTCCTCACAGCACTTTCACTTCCTGGTATTTTGCTCCTTGTCTGTTGTCTATCTCCCCCAACTAGAATGAATGTTCCAGGAGGGCAGGGGCTCTGTCTTGTTCAGTGCCAGGTACCCAGTGCATAGAAGAGTGCCTGGCAATAAGACCTACTAATACCTGGGGCATGAATGAATGAATGAATGAATGAGAGCATGAATGGACCCACACAGGGCAGTATAAACACTGATGAGGGCACATATAAACAACTAGCTGCCTCAGCCTTTCTCTCTTCTCTTTTCTTGGGAAATATGGTCTTTTTAAAATTTCAATTCTAACATTTTTAAAGATGTTTATTATTTTTCCTGATTATAAAAGTAACATGTGCTCACATCTAAAATTTAAACATCACAGAAAAGAATGACCTGGAGAGCAAAAGCCCCCTATCACCCCACCTCTTAGAAAAAGTCACTGTTAATGTGTGTTGTGTATTCATCCAGATTACATTCAGTTTCACAAGAAGCAAATCCATGCATCATAGAAAGAAAAGGAATTCCTAATCCCACCAGGCTAGCAGCCACCATCATTTCTCTCTGGCCATATTTCTCATGTGTTTACTTTACAAGTTACCTTAATGTACTTATCCTGTAACCTGACATTTTTACTTAGTATATCATAATCATTTTTCCAAGTTGTTGTATTGCCTATGTTCTCACTATTACAATGCCGGTGTGATATTCCACCAGGTGGAAAATTATAATTTCCTTAACCTAGCTGTTCCAACAAAAAGAGAGCAATTGTTTCCCGTTTCCACTATTACCATGACACCACAAGAAACATGTTTTTATGCCTCTAACAAAAGAATTCAGCTCTTTTCTTCTCTGGGACTATTTCCAAAAGAAAGATTTCTTAATGAATAATTCCAGGAGTGGGGTCACTGGACCAGAGGGTACAACAGTCCTAAGGCCGATGGTGGAGACTGCCCTGGGGAATTCTGCGTGATGTGGGGAGCTGGTCTCTGGTCTGAGTCACCGGGTACCCGCCATGGTCTCTGTGGCCATCTCTGCACCCCCACCCCACCCCCGCAATTCAGGTGCACACCTCCCGGGCTACAAATCACCCCAACGACGCACGACTTCAAAGGCCCTCCAACCACAAACTGATTTTGCAAGCCCAGGCTGAGGGAAACATAGATGCTAGCACTGAGTGTTAAACTGTCAACCGGCAAGTTCTACCTAAAGCTGAGAATTACCTAGTTGCCCTTCTCCTTCCCTGCAAGCTCCTGCCTGGAATCTAAGGTCCCCGGTCCCCAGGGACCAGCCCAGCAGCTCCCAAACAACTTGTCCTATCAAGAGTGCAAAAGCACCAGCTCTCCTTCCTTGTCTTCCAGGCGAGTTCTCTGCTGGCTGGTCCCTGACCCACAGTGGGACTGTCTGCCTTATGCAGACAACAGCCTTCAGGCTAGAGAGACCTCTGGGACTTGGGAAAGCAGCCAATCATCATGTTTTAAAGCACCATCAAGGAAAAGCCAGAGGCCAAGGCTGGAAAGAAAGGCCACATGAGGACAGGTGAGACTCCAGGGTCAGGGGTGAGGGGGAGGCGTTCTACATGCAGCTTGTCTAGCCTTAAGAGGAGACCCTCCACAAGCCAAAAGCAGCAGAAGACTTGCTCCTCTTGCCCCCCTGGTGGCCACCTCTCTAGCAACTAAGGCACCACAAATCCCACTTCCTCCCAGTGCCCTGGATGCTCTCCCCAAGGCCATGTGAACTGCTCATGGCTCTGGGCAAAGTCTGGAATCCCAGATGAGATACAGTTCTCAATGCACAGAGGTAAAGCATCCACGAGCCTACAGATAAGAAAGGGAATGTGGGAAGATGTCATCTCCCATGTGCTGGGTGTCTGACATCACTCATTCAGCCCATCTGGGTCGGGCACATATTTCAGAGACCATGTGGCTCTAAGATGGCTCTAGCATGCTGAATGACCTGAACCTGCCGGGCACTCCCCTCCTACCCCGGAACTACAGCCCTGTGACAGGCCCTCGGACAGAATACAGGCTCAGAACTAGAACCTCCAAACCTGGGTCCGTGCCCCTGCGGCAGGGAGGGCTGGTGATCCCCGCGGAGCCTGTCACATACTCACTTATCAGACCTCTGAGTGCACGGCTCAGAACAGACATCAGGATCGCTGTGCAGGAGTGTCCCGGGTTAACCTTTGTCCTGGTGCCTGGCTGGGCCTCGGTACCATTCTCAGCAGTGGGGGCAAGCATCAGCCCCAGGGCTCAGCTGATCCTTGGCTGGTGGGCCGGAGGCTTCCATGTGTCCCTGGGAATAAAAAAGGAGGCGTTCATTACCTTCTGCTGCCCACCAGGCCAGGGGGAGAGGGAGCCTCAAGGCAAACACTACAATTGCCCAGGCTCGGGGCTCAGCACCAGGCAGGCATCCCGCCCAGGCCACTGAGCCCCCCTCTCTTGGAACCTACTATCTCCTCTGTGCTGTCCTGCTTGCTCAGGTCTGGTTAATCCAGCAATGACAGCCTGGGATGCATCCCAGGCAATTTGCACATGGGGCTAGGACTTAGGGCTTCTTGCACCGAGAGTAAATGTGTGCACATTTGTAAATCTGAGAGGGGGTATAATTTTAGACTCCAGTGCCTTTCTCATTTAGCTTCAAATTACACTCTCACCTTCGCCCTGCAGTGGCTACATCTGCTCTCAAGCGCGGTCAAGAACCTCAAGGAAGGCACATAACGTAGGAAATTTGTCACAGCATTTGGGGAGTCGAGCGCAGCTACACACAGAAAAACAAGCACACCAACAAAACGTGTGCGAGACCCTCTCCCCAAGCACACCAACAAAACGTGTGCGAGACCCTCTCCCCACAATCGCACCACCCTAATATTTATTTCACTCTATTTTATCACTATTCTTGTTAAGGCCCTTCCTGTTAACATCAATAACCGACCACAAGCTGATATAAATCTGACTTTATGATGCCCCTGGCCACATACACATTTTTAATATATCCCTAAGATTTGACCATTTGATAAAGATTCTGACTTTAACGTGAAGGTCCTGCAGCTTCTCTGAAAACCCCTTGGATGCAGCACCATCTGCACGAGCCCAAGGACAGAGCTCAGGTCGGGCTCGGCCCTACAGCGGGACAGGGGTGGAAGCTGCCCACCCTCCAAGCAGGGTTATCGGTGGAGGCGCCACCCCAGCTGGTGCCCACGACCAGCTTCCTCCATCCCCACCGAGGAGAAGTGAAAGGGCAGGAGTTGGGACTTGAAATTCACTGTATGCATATGTGTTTGTGGCCCCGGAGGGTGCACCCCCCCCCCCCCCCCCCCCCCCCCGCACTGAGACCGGTGAAGGATGAGAGCAAAGTGCAATGGGCTGCTGAGCTTGGCCTGGCCCTCCCCGGCTCCTCCCCAAACAGGAGCCTCAACCTGCCCCACCTGTCCATCTTCCCCCCTTCTCCCAGCCTGCCTGGCCAGACCCATTACCTCGAGGAAAGGGCTTTAGTGGGGCATGTCCGACATCCCCTCTACCCCCAGCATCACCATGACCTGCACCTGAGGAGTTCAATCCCACCCCCGGCACTTCCCTTTCCCTAGGCCCTAAGTGAGCCACATCAGCAAGCACAAGACAAAAGAGAAAGAGAAACCAAAGCCCACATCCTGGTAGCACAGCCTACTGGTTGCTGTAGTCAGCCCTGGGAGCCCGCTGCTGGCTGAGGGGCCCCCTGCAGATGAAGCCACTGCGGTCAGAACAGGCTCCCTTCTGAGGCCGGCCTGGCACTAGACACCTCCTGCTTCCTGGTCTGCAGGCTCTTCCCCCAGGGAGCCAGCGGGGGCTGGACGAGGAGGCGATCGTCCAGCAGGAGTCCCACCTCTGCCTCTAAGCGCACAAGCTGTCCCTGGACCCCTCTGACACTCCCTGGCCCCTGAGAGCAGGCCCCTGGTGTAGATGGCATGAGGCTCCTTTGTGGACTGCAGGGCCTGAGCTTGAAGTTTCTGGAGCACAGCAATGTGTGAAGAGCCCCTATAGCAACTAACGTGGGCAGAACTTACACTTTTTTGAGTACATCATCTCTCAGGATTCTCCCAAGACTCCTGCAGGGAGGGCAGGAATCATCCCCCGCCCACCCCAGCCCCACCCCCCATTTTTAGAGATGAAAACACTGACTCTCGGGACATTAAGAGATTAGGCCAAATTTATACATTTGACTCAAACCCTGGTCCTTGGGCTTCAGAGTCCCCCTCTCCCCACACAGCATGCCTTCAAGCTGCTTTCCATGCGTCTGCTTCATTCACTACCATCTACTTAGTCGGTTCTGTAAGCGGCTTATTTGTAAACAGTCAGCCTGAGTCTGTCCAACCAGCTTCATCGACAAGCCCCCGGGGCCTCCTCTGAGAACCTGCTCCCTCCTCACTCCTTTGTGAGGCCATCCTCCTAAGCCCCCAGCTAGTCCATCACTGATGTTCCCACAGGACTTTGAACACCTTTGCCCTGAAACATCATGTCCCATCTGAAAGTTATTATTGGCAAAAAGTTCCCCCTCCACACGGTGAATTCCTCAAGACCAGGGGATTTCTTTTGGATGGATGGACAAGCCAGCTTGAGAAGGGTCCAGCCAAAAATTCTTGGGTGATTGCACTATCCAGTGTTATTAACTAAACAGGGATGTCTCGCATTCTTCCCTAATCTTTAGGCCAACGTCAGGAAAGGGCTGTCTCCCACAAAGCACCATAAATGTGGGTTTCCAGTGGCAGGGCTATCTCTGCAAATGAGGGAAGAAAGGAGGGTGCTCGCTCTCCTTCTCCCACCTCCAGGAGCCATCACCTGGACTGCAAGGTGTGGACAGATGAGGGGGTACCTTGGGTCCGGGTAATACAGAGGACGTGTCACCCCGAGGAAGCATCCCAGGCATCCCCGGAGAAAGTGCAGGCTCCTACGTGGGCAAGGGGCCAGGCTCGGGCTCGGGTCAGAGAAAAACAATGCCTATTCTGTTATTTCTGCAAGGTGCTGGCCCTCTCAAAAGGCACATCCAGTTTTCACGCACAGAGCATTCAGTTTCCCAGAGAGGTTTAACCATCAGCGGCTGGCAGGAAATTCCCTCTGCATCATTCTCTCCCCTCCCCTATAACTATTTAGGGTAAGCTGGGCTTGCAGGATTGAATCTCCACTTCTCTGACCAGAACCTAAAAACCAAACCTGCCCCCACTCTCCCCGCAATCTCCATGGCCCAGAACCTCAGCCAGGAAGTGGCAGGCAAATGCCATCCCTTCTTCCCCCACCCTCCCCTCTTCCTCAAATCTCCCCTACCCCAGATGCCCACGAAGTAAAGAGGAAATGCCCCCAGGACCCACTGGGGGAGCTCTCCGATTACTCCAAGTGCCCTGGTTCTTCCCACAAGACCCCAAACCACTGCTCTTACTTGCCCTGTAGTAAGACCAACCCTGAACACAGGTGGATTTGGCAACTTCCCAAGTGGAGAGACCATGCTAAGGTACAAATGCAACGGGAATTCCAAATGCCCCCAGGGGAAAGCCTGCATCTGCTCAGCTCACCTTGGGAAGCAAGGAGCCCCAGGCCCTTGGGCCTGACTGGCATAGGGAAGGTTGGTGCAGACAGGAGACAGACCGCCCACACACTCCATTTGACCCCATCCTTCCACGCCATGCTCCCTCATTTTGGGATCTGGGTTTCTCTGCCAGCCGGACAACTCACCACTCTGTCCTCTGTCTCACCTGCGGGCTACTCTGTCCTGTCACCCTCCTTTCCTTCCTCCCTCCTCCCATCCAGCCCCTCCTATCTTACGCGCCTTTCTCAATGTCCCCTTCTGGACAAACCCAGACCACCCATCCCCTACACCCTGGAGGGTGGTCTCTGGCCCCGTGCCCCGTCCCTTTCCCTCCCACCCTACCCCCGGCACTGGGTAGCGGGCCGCTTGCTGCCTGAAAGGCTGGACAGTTGCTGGGCTCCCTAATTCGCCGCCTGGCTGCTGTCCCAGAGCAAGGCACGAGTTACGGTAAAGAGCTGCCGCCCCCGCCTCACTTCATCAATAATCCCCTAGGCAGATCCCAGCAGGCGGCCGCTGAGGGGCCCTGGAATCCTGGTCACTTGAGACCAGCAAGGCTCCTCCTGGCAGCTGGAAAGCGACAGACAGTGGCCTCACAGCCTCACCAACTAAGTGACCAGGAACTTATTTATCCCGGCTCTCCCTCTCACTGCCCACGTCCTTAGGGTGTGGCACAGGTGACGCCACCACCCCACACGTTTGGAGCAATGGGACACTGCTCCTCTGTTGCCTCAGCAATGCAGGCAGAAAAAAAGCCCTCCGGGTCTTTTGGAGGATAAGCCTGGGCTCCCTGAACAGCATGACACCCAGTGCCCTGCTTTTCACAGCTTTCTACAGCCAAGCCACCCCAGAGATTTTTAAACAGCCAGAGACCTCATCCAAGAGGTCCTGTGGAAGCTAATTTGTTTATTCAAGGTGTTGTATTCCAGTGGTCAACAAATATTGATGGAACACCTGCTGAAGGTCAGGCACTGAACTGAGTGTGAACAAGACAATGTTCCTGCCCCCTGGGAGCCCACATCCCTCTGGGGGAGACAGACAATAAAGCTCCTTGACATACTGGAATGTCTGATAGCAGGCCACAAAGAAGGGGAAAGGCCAGTGCGGACAGAGAAACTGGATGCTAGAGGGCAAGTCTTAAACTTCTCTAAGGAGGTAGCATTTCGGCATAGATCAAGAACATGCAAAGAAGCCTTTCAAAGAACTTTGGAGAAAGCATTCCAGGCAGAGGAACGGTAAGTGAAAAGACCCTGAGGGAGGAGCGAGCTAACAGACAAGTTTGAGGGGTGCCTGGGTGGCTCAGTCGGTTAGGTGTCCGACTCTTGATCTCAGCTCAGGCCTTGACTTAGGCTCATGAGTTCAAGCCCCACCTTGGGTTCCATGTTGGGAGCCTACTTTAAAAAAAAAAAACAAAAAAAAAAACAAGTTTGAGAGATAGCAAGGCCAGCGTGGCTAAAGTTGGTGTAATTAAGGGGTCAAACATTCCCTGCCCCTGATTGCAAAAGTCATCTGGTGGTCTCCACGGGGCCAGCTGGGCCAGGGCAAAGCCCCAGCCGCCAAGGAAACATGCCCCCCAGGCCTGGAGACTCCCCTGGTGGGCAGAGCTGGAAACTGCGGGTCTAGTCAGCTGTTTGGCAATGCCCTTATTAACAAAGAAAGGGAAAGTGAAATCTTTTGACTTGTGTCCTGGAATTTCCATCTGCTTCTCATCAAAAGAATTGAAGTAACTTTACTAGGGCCTT